TGAGTTCCAACCATATGGGAATGCTCGACACATCCTGCGTATTTTAGCAAAAGCCAATACGCTGTTTCAGGCTTTTTTCTTTTCTTTTTCTTTCTAAACTACAGCACCCGTTCTACATTCCAGGGGGAAAAGCGTTTGAGGCAGAATCCTATTTCAATTCCGTCAACATTTTCGGAATTGTAAATTTGCCTCAATGTTATCTGTTTCCATTTCAGAATCAAATCCTAAATAAAAACTAAGAGGTTTGAATGATTAAGACGTACTATGAACACCCAAAAGCCAAACCCACTGCCTTGGAAGGCATTCTGGGCCACTGCCACCCATCTCTGAGTTGAGACGGTAAGACTTTCTGGGAGAGCAAATGGGCTCCTCTTTCATGGGTACAGCAGCTGGTAGTTTGCAACTGCCAACTTGGGTGGATAGCAGCTCACTGCCTGGCACACAGCGGCTGCAGGCCTCCCCTGCAGACAAGTGTATTTTCGCATCCTCTTCCACCAGGGTAGAATCAGTTACCAACTACATTTCCACCAGCAGACAGCCTTCAATCTTCAAGGAGCACAGTGGGTAAGCCTCAACTGCTACCCAAGATCAGCTGTGTGAAACGGCCAGCTGGGCCCCATCCACAAAGGGAGTCCACTAAGATGCCAGCAGGGGGGTGTCTAGGTTTGCAGGGCTGCAATCTCTCTAGAAGCAGGTTGGCAGGACTTTTCTCCTTGAAGCAGCTGTTGGGTTTGAGTCCCCTAACTTACAGTAAGTAGACTGGCTCCTAGCCAGAGTCCCTTCCCAGTCAACTGAAAAATCTAAGATTTTTAACCTGTGACACTGTGCCACTCTGCCGTACAAGGTGTCACTGTGAATGCAGCTGGATTGACAATGCACACCCAAAACAGGTTTCAGGCAGCCTCTCCCCGGGCCTGCCTCTAAGACACAGCTGGGCCTTGCAATGGTGAACTGAAACAAAGTGGAAATGGGCTGCTGAACTGAAGGCTGGGGGCTGATCTGTAAGCCTTCACCGCGTTCACAACCAAAAGGTGGTTTTGGTTTTTGTTTGTAATGAGAGAATGGCTTCTAGAATCCTTGGTCCACATCACAAGTCCGAGCCTACAAAGTCCATGAAACGAGGCACATCCGTGGGTCACACGGATCAATACATTAACACCATGCAGTGCAGTTGCGCAAAATAGGGGTGACCTCATTGAGAATGCACCTGTGAGAGATGGGTGAACTTTGGTGGGCACGCACAGTGGGACACTTCAGGTGGCTAGAAGGACGGCAGAACTGTAAAACCCCTCTAGCTGTGGATGGGCTTGGAGGACATCATGCTGGGTGAGGTTGGTCACACACAAAAGGACAAAGATGGTATGAGACCACTGGAAAAACGGGGGCAGGGAGGGCGGGAGGAAACATCAGAATACTGGTTTCATAGCAAAAGTAACAGACTTTGATGGCTACCAGGGTTTGGAGAGGGTAGGGAGGGGCAGGTGAAGCAGTAGGCTAGTGGGTAGACAGGTGTTCCCTTTGATGAAGGGGAAGGTAATATTCTGCAAGAGGGAGAAGGGGGGGAGGGCAAGCTACTGGGAGGTTTGCTGAAATGATGCCCTAAAACACAATCTCCCTCCTAGTTCACAATAAGCATTTTTTTTTAAATAAAAACTAGAACATGACAGTGGGGCAAGAGGAAAGTAAAAGGAAATAGAGGATAGAGGTAGGAGGCAAAGGGCATTTATTGAGGTCTAAATACAAGCATGTACATATGTAAATATCTTTATATATAACGATAGGGAAATAGGTCTATGTGCATATGTTTATAGGTTAAGTATTAAGGTAGCAGAGGGGCATTGGGCCTCCACTCAAGTCCTCCTTCCATGCAAGAACGCTTTGTTCTTCTCGTTCATTTTCTGAATATCAGGACTGCATTCTGCTGCTATTACCTTCAGCCCTTTCCACCTTCTGACCCTCACAGAGTTCCCGTGGCTACAGCTCTGTGAGGTCACTCAGAGTGTCACTTCTGCCCAGCAGGGCCATGCGTGGCGACCGGTTTCTATCACCCTGCTCGGAGCCGAGCGGAGGGTCCAGGCTCAGAGGACACCATGAGAACGTTGTGACTCAGAGAGAGCAGGGCCTTCGAGTTGGAGCTCTGCTCCTGCTGCTCTTTCCTGGGGCCTCCATGCAATGACAGCCAGGTCCAGAGTCCTGTCTCAGACGCCTCGGGCAAGCCCCTACTTCATCTATCAACCAAGATCTTTGAGGGGGACCCTGTGGAAGGCTGGGCTGAGAACATGATAGTGAGCACGTGCTCTTTGTTTGCACCCCTATTTGTAGATCTTTTGTTCCAATGGGAGACAGACGTAGGGTATGCGCAGTAAGAAGACAAGGAAAACAACCTGCATGCCCACCAGCAGAAGGGCTAAAGAAACTCTGGTGTACATGCACACGGTGGAATACTACGCAGCACTGAACACGATGGAAAAAGCACAACGCTCCTCATGGCATGCATGGCCCTGGAGAAAAATTTTATGAGGCCACTGGTATAAGGGGAGAAACAAACAAAAACAACAACAACAACCAGATAAAGACTTTGATAACAAAGGAGACAAGCTTTCGAGATTGCCAAGGAGGTCAGGCAAGGGAGGCAAGATAAAGCAATGGGCTCTATCTGACACAGGTGATTAACTTGGGGGCAATGGTATAAGATAGTTCACAAGAGGGGACAGAAATCAAGGAGTGGGTGAGGGGTGAACAATTGGTTTCATTGGTTGTGTAAACTGTTGAACCCAAAGCTTATCTAAAGTGCAAACCCCCACCTAATTTAGAATAAAAGATTGTTTTAAAAAGCAAGAAGGTGATAAAGCTTAGGATCCAGGAAGAAGGTGAAAGATAGCCTATGCACATGCTATGGCTTAAAGCCAGGTTACTCTCGTGGGCGCTTAAAGCCAGGTTATTCTCATGGGAGCATGTAAGTTCTTCAGAAAGCTCATGTGCTTTTTCTTAAGGTGCTGTCGTGATTTCTAGTGAACGAAAATAAATTTCTATCCCTGCTTCCATTCAACATCCATAACCCAGCAAATATAACCTACTCATAAAAGAAATCAGGCACACCAGTGTCAAAAAACCACAAGCCCCTGTTATCTATCTCTCCTGCAGACATATGCTGAGGGGGGCTTCTAAAAGCTCACGGGAGTTGTAATTAAAAGATAATGGCAATTGTTCACCAGCTCTTGGGAGTTCCCTTGTACATCCCTCCCAGTTAGCTCTATAAACATTTGATATAGGTCTCTGATTTCCTGAATCACACACCTTGTTCTTTTCTTCGAATCTCTGCAAACCCTGCCAGATGAATCCATGTCAACCCCCCGGCAGAGAACAAACTCTCTGAGGGCAGGCAAGCATTTTCGCCACCTGGTCAGGTCTCCACACCATGTCCCCTCTGCACTGACAGAAGCCCAGCCAAGTAGTCCTGCAGGGCCAGGACCCACCTCTGCCAGTCGATTGCCACGGCGTACTGCCTGGGGCAGGAGAAAGAGTAGCCAGGTTCCCTCCTTTCCGAGCGGTAGGAGCAGCGTCATTCCGTCACTTCCATTGAGTCAATGGCGACTCATACCCACGGCTTTAGAACCGGGTCGAAGTGCCCCTGTGGGTTTCCGAGATGTAACTCTTGATGGCACAAAAAGCCCTTTCTCCTGAGGTGGTTTCAAAATGCTGACCCTTCGGATCCCAGCCCAACAAGTAACCCCTATGCCACCAGGGCGCCTAACCTCACCTAGAGACTCGCTGCTCAAACGATTCCTCGTTGTGTTAATAAAGCCCGCCCAAGTTTGAAAATTCCTTTGTTTTCCTAAAGGAAGGGTGCTACCTGATTTAAGGAAAAACCAGCTGAATTTCAGACGAGGGTAGAAACATAAATTGGGGAGGATGCGTATCCCAGCTCTTGGATGCCAGACAATTGAACCGTTCGTTTAAGGCTCCTCTGGCTGTAGGGGAAATCAATTTCCAAACAACACCGTCTCTTTTTGCTTTAAACCGAGTGGGTGAGATCGCGGGGACTGCACGTGCGCCGGACCCGCTAGGGGGCGCACTTGTTCCACTTCCGGCACGCCACGTGACTAACGGTCACGTGACTGAAGGCTAGCTCTCCCTTCCGTTCCGCCCGCGCCTCCCCATGCAGTCACTTGTAATAAATGTGTTTCTTCTGACGACACGCGATGGATGTGACCGTCCCCAAGACAATGCTTCTTTTTACTCAAGGAAATCGGGACAGTAAATAACTTTTCTTCCCCTCGAGACAGTCGCGATGCTTGAGGCCGTTGCAACGCACAAACGAAATAACTTCACAAAGGTCGCCGAACAGCCAAGCCGAAAATCTGAGCCCCAGTTCCATTTAACTGCTTGTCAGCTTTGAGATGGGAAGCCAATGAATGCAGCAGCGAGCGAGTCCATCAAACCCAACAGCAGGACCGCGGGGCGGACGGAGGACATGCAGCCTGCAGGGCCGCGCGTGACCCAGCCCGGTGGGGACAGGGACGCCACGTCCCAGCGCCACGACGACCGCGGCCACAGCCGCAAACCGGGGCTCCGCTGCACCTCGGACGCGACCCAGCGGCGCCGGACGCCGAGCAGAGCCATCGCGGATGTGATGGCGATTCCAATGGGGAAAGGTCTGTGTCTACACAACACGTGGATCCACAGAGCACTGAGAAACCCCCCAGAAATAGCCCACTCACGGCCTAAAGAGACAGCAACCTCAAATAGCCCCTCAGGGCCGGCTGCTCCGTAGTAATCCCAGACAGGTGTGGCGCCAATGGCAGCAGAATCCACGGACAGTAAACCTGCGGGCCCCACTAAGTGACTGGGGTTGGAGACATGTGGGAGCAATGAGAAGGAAAACAGAGTGTCATGCGTGAGCTTCCGTTTCTCACGACGAGAACCAGGATGCGCACGGGGTCATGCTGTCGCTTTGCAGACATCACTCACCATTTTAGCAACTTTCCCATAGTCAATCCATCGGACAGTGGCGAAGTTTGTGGATTCCGCACAGTTGAAACCGTGATTAAAGCCAGCATGATAGCCGTATGGGAAAGTGATCATAAATTCTCCTGGCTCTTGAGTTATCTGCAGAACAAAAAACAGAGAACATTTTCCACTGATAAGATTTTCCAAATGGTGAATACAATTAAGAACATAACCTATAAAAATCTAAAGAATCAAAGCCGTTGGATCAGAGATATATACTCTTTTTTTTTTTCTTTTCTTTTTTTTTTTTTGCTATTCCTTGAATATTGCTTCCCCTGGCCCAGGAAAACTTGACCAAAAAAACAAAGCAACTTTCATAAACATGGTGTGATTTTCCAGGCAATATATTTACTCGATCCATTATTAAAGTTAATATCTGTTCTGGTTAGGCATGATCAAGTCAGTTCTGCCTCACACCAATCCCTTACACAGCAGAAAGAAACGCCACATCCTTAGAGACTCCCGGAGAGACTGTGCTGACAAGACATGGAACTCCTCTAGTGCCTTGTGCTGGAGCAGCCGCGTGGAGACCCACACCACTGCTGAGATGCTTACAAAGCCACGGGAGCCACAAGACTTCCCACCCACTGGCCTATGCTCTTCCTGCAGTTGGCATCATTGCATGTGTGTCCTGAGTCTCAAGAGGCCTTTATAGATGGGTATTGGACATGAATTTGTTTCTCTGGTCTACCCAGACTTGCAAATTAGAGAGAAATGCCACCTGGTTCTGCCACCACCCTTAGACTCCTTCCTCTGTTTGAGCCCGTGGTTCCAGTCCCGTGTCAGTCCGTCTAGTGAAGCAGCTTCTTTTCTCAATCACCCTCAACTGCCTGTCACTCTTCTCTGGGAACTGGCCGAGCCTGGGAATGCAGCCAAAGGACATGCTTTCTAAGGAGCATTAGGGCTGTGCTTTTCCAAGATAAGTGTGTTTGTTCTCTGGAAGACCTGGTATATTCAATATTCTTCACCAGCACCACACATCAAAGCATCAAAACTCTTCAATGTTATCCATAATTTGTTTTAATCCACACAGTCAAATGTCTTTGCATTGTCATTGAAATCACTAAAATCTCTGATTGCAGCCAACTTCCAATGGACATGAGCATGGATCCACTTCTAAGTCCTGTTTGAGTGTCTGGCGGTTCTGTCGCTATCCTGCCCTAACCATTCCTTCTAACTCCTCGACAAAATGTTACATGCATGAGATGGTAATGATATTGTTCGTTGATTTCTGTATTCAGCTAGATCACCTTTCCTGGGTCTGGGCACAAATATGGATCTCACCAGTTGGCTGGCCTGGCTATGTCTTCCAAACTTCTTGGCATAAGCACCTCAGCAATGCACCCATTTGTGGAAACATCTCAGTTCATATTCCGTCAGTTCCTGGGCGCTTCTTTTCTACCACTATCTTCAGTGCAGCTTGAACTTCGACCTTAAATACAATCACTTCTTCACCATACGCTACTTCCTGAAAGGACTGACCATCAGCCAATTCTTTTTGGTGCAACGGCTCAGTGTTCCTTCCGTCTGTCTTGTTGATGCTTCCTGAATTGTTCAATCTGAAAACTCAAGGCTTACCATTTTTCTTTAGTCCTTTAACCTTGGAAACTGCCAAACACCAAAATATAACCGGGTTCAAATTCTCCAAATACCAATTCTTTGTTCCCAACTTTTGCAGTCAAATCTTCAGTGTTGACCAATGCACCTTGCTGACCGACTGGGGGGTGCAGGAGTTGGCAACATCCTGGGCTGTCTTCACCTTTACCATCCAGGGTTGGCACATCAATTTGAATCACATTAACCGATCTTCCCTTCTCGGAGAGTATGGATACCACTCTCTGACTAAGTGTACTGTACTTCAGGGCAGATCCTGAAGCATTATTTTTGACAATGAGTGTGACACCATTTCTCTTTGTCATTGCCAGCACAGTGGACCACAGGATTGTGCCACTGAGAGTCACCGATACCAGTCCATTTCAGCTCACTGATGTTCTATTTCAATTTTGACAGCTTCCAATTATCCTAGGTTCATGCTCCGTACATTCCACATTCTGGTTATTAATGGACATCAGCAGCTGTTTCTACTCCTTTTGAAACTTGTCACATGCACAGATGAAGGTCCCGACAGCTTTACCCCAGCCCTGTCACTAAGGTCGAGTCTACTTTGAAGAGGCAGCTCTTCCCCGTCGTACTCTGAGCACCTTCCAACCTGAGAGACTCATCCTCTGGCACGGTCTTGGACAATGTGTCAGTGCTATTCATATGGTGGTCATGGGCCAGAGTGCTTAGAAGTAGACTCTCTGGTCTGTCTTCCTAATCTGTCTTGGTCAGGAAGTCCCATTGAAACCCGTCCACCGCAGGTGGACCTGGCATTGAAAACACTGGTTGTATAGCTTCTGGCACCACAGCAATGTGTGAGCCATCTTACTAGGGCCAATCGCCAGACAGTAGAACAGTTTATTTGAAAAACATCTATGTTCTGAGTTCTTAAAGTAAATTTTAATATCTCCACTTTTACCTGTTTATGAACATTAATGTTGCAATTAACAGAGCTGATCTAACATAGTACTGAATTTATTTCCTTTGTCAAAATTTACACTTCTTACATCATCATTTGTATTCTTGGCTTCTGGAACTATATTTAATTTATCATCAACTTTGCTGCATGGTATGTAGTTCCCACACCCTCATTGGCCTGATTGTAAATGATTTCATAATGCATGAATACTTACATCCTCCCTTCAGAATTAGACATCAAACATCCACAGACCCGCTTGCCCCAGCCTTCCACAACAACCACAGGCCAGGAAACCCAAATACCCAGTTTGGAAGCAGACGAGATACCAGCTCTTCTCCAGTAAGGGACAGGAGAGAAAATCTATCATCATCCATTCTCTGGTGGAAATCTTCCTCCCACCGGACTGCAATTAACCTTAGGCATCGGCCCCCGGGAAGAAATGGAATGAGATCAAGGGCTGCCTCCCTGCTTCCTGCCAGCCCTCAGAGGCTGGGAAATGGGGCGGGG